GAGGGAAGGAGTGGAGGAAGGGAGGGAAGGAGTGGAGGGAGGGAGGGAAGGAGTGGAGGAAGGGAGGGAAGGAGTGGGGGAAGGGAGGGAAGGAGTGGGGGAAGGGAGGGAAGGAGTGGAGGGAGGGAGGGAAGGAGTGGAGGAAAAGAGGGAGGGATTGAAGAAAGGGAGGGAAGGAGTGGGGGAAGGGAGGGAAGGAGTGGAGGAAGGGAGGGAAGGAGTGGAGGAAAGGAGTGGGGGAAAAGAGGGAAGGAGTGGAGGAAAAGAGGGAGGGATTGAAGAAAGGGAGGGAAGGAGTGGGGGAAGGGAGGGAAGGAGTGGGGGAAGGGAGGGAAGGAGTGGGGGAAGGGAGGGAAGGGAGGGAAGGAGTGGGGGAAGGGAGGGAAGGAGTGGAGGAAAGGCAGGGAAGGAGTGGAGGGAGGGAGGGAAGGAGTGGAGGAAAGGAGTGGAAGGAGGGAGGGAAGGAGTGGAGGAAGGGAGGCAAGGAGTGGGGGAAGGGAGGGAAGGAATGGAGGAAGGGAGGGAAGGAGTGGGGGAAGGGAGTGGAGTGGGGGAAGGGAGGGAAGGAGTGGGGGAAGGGAGGGAAGGAGTGGAGGAAAGGAGGGAAGGAGTCGAGGGAGGGAGGGAAGGAGTGGGGGAAGGGAGTGGAGTGGAGGAAGGGAGGGAAGGAGTGGGGGAAGGGAGTGGAGTGGAGGAAGGGAGGGAAGGAGTGGGGGAAGGGAGGGAAGGAGTGGAAGAAAGGGAGGGAAGGAGTGGAAGAAAGGGAGGGAAGGAGTGGAAGAGAGGGAGGGAAGGAGTGGAAGAAAGGGAGGAAAGGAGTGGAGGGAGGGAGGGAAGGAGTGGAGGGAGGGAGGGAAGGAGTGGAGGAAGGGAGGGAAGGAGTGGGGAAAGGGAGGGAAGGAGTGGAGGGAGGGAGGGAAGGAGTGGGGGAAGGGAAGGAAGGAGGGGGGGAAGGGAGGGAAGGAGGGGGGGAAGGGAGGGAAGGAGTGGAGAAAGGAGGGAAGGAGTGGAGGAAGGGAGGGAAGGAGTGGAGGAAGGGAGGGAAGGAGTGGAGGAAGGGAGGGAAGGAGGGGGGGAAGGGAGGGAAGGAGTGGAGGAAGGGAGGGAAGGAGGGGGGGAAGGGAGGGAAAGAGTGGAGGAAGGGAGGGAAGGAGTGGAGGAAGGGAGGGAAGGAGTGGAGGAAGGGAGGGAAGGAGTGGAGGAAGGGAGGGAAGGAGTGGAGGAAGGGAGGGAAGGAGTGGAGGAAGGGAGGGAAGGAGTGGAGGGAGGGAGGGAAAGAGTGGAGGAAGGGAGGGAAGGAGTGGAGGAAGGAAGGGAAGGAGTGAAGGGAGGGAAGGGAGGGAGGGAAGGAGTGGAGGAAGGGAGGGAAGGGAGGGAAGGAGTGGAGGGAGGAAGGGAGGGAAGGAGTGGAGGGAGGAAGGGAGGGAAGGAGTGGAGGAAGGGAGGGAAGAGAGGGAAGGAGTGGAGGGAGGAAGGGAGGGAAGGAGTGGAGGGAGGAAGGGAGGGAAGGAGTGGAGGAAGGGAGGGAAGGAGTGGAGGAAGGGAGGGAAGGAGTGGAGGAAGGAGGGAAGGAGTGAAGGGAGGGAAGGGAGGAGGAAGGAGTGGAGGAAGGAGGAAGGGAGGGAAGGAGTGGAGGGAGGAAGGGAGGGAAGGAGTGGAGGGAGGAAGGGAGGGAAGGAGTGGAGGGAGGAAGGAGGGAAGGAGTGGAGGAAGGGAGGGAAGAGAGGGAAGGAGTGGAGGGAGGAAGGGAGGGAAGGAGTGGAGGGAGGAAGGGAGGGAAGGAGTGGAGGGAGGAAGGGAGGGAAGGAGTGGAGGAAGGGAGGGAAGGAGTGGAGGAAGGGAGGGAAGGAGTGGAGGAAGGGAGGGAAGGAGTGGAGGAAGGGAGGGAAGGAGGGGGGGGAAAGGAGGGAAGGAGTGGAGGGAGGGAGGGAAAGAGTGGAGGAAGGGAGGGAAGGAGTGGAGGAAGGAAGGGAAGGAGTGAAGGGAGGGAAGGGAGGGAGGGAAGGAGTGGAGGAAGGGAGGGAAGGAGTGGAGGGAGGAAGGGAGGGAAGGAGTGGAGGGAGGGAGGGAAGGAGTGGAGGGAGGAAGGGAGGGAAGGAGTGGAGGAAGGGAGGGAGGGAAGGAGTGGAGGGAGGGAGGGAAGGAGTGGAGGGAGGGAGGGAAGGAGTGGGGGAAGGGAGGGAAGGAGTGGGGGAAGGGAGGGAAGGAGTGGAGGGAGGGAGGGAAGGAGTGGAGGGAGGGAGGGAAGGAGTGGAGGGAGGGAGGGAAGGAGTGGAGGAAGGGAGGGAAGGAGTGGAGGAAGGGAGGGAAGGAGTGGAGGAAGGAAGGGAAGGAGTGAAGGGAGGGAAGGGAGGGAGGGAAGGAGTGGAGGAAGGGAGGGAAGGGAGGGAAGGAGTGGAGGGAGGGAGGGAAGGAGTGGAGGAAGGGAGGGAAGGAGTGGGGGAAGGGAGGGAGAGGGGAGGAGTATGAAAGCTTGGAAGGAGGGAGGGAGATAAAGGGAGTAGGGAGGAAAGGAGAGGGAGGAGTAAGGGTTAAGGATTGAAGATGAGGGAATGAGAAAAAAAGATAAGAGGAAAATGCGAAGAGGAGAGGAAAATAAAACGGGGCAGAGAGAGAGATAGATAGAAAGAGGGAGAGATAAATTCTTTAGGGAAATCAAATTCAATGTCGCTTTCTATCATTTCATGAACCTTTGAATATTTTCTTTATTTTTTTCTTTACTTACTCATGATTAAAATTCACGCTAAGTGTTTTTTTTTTCCTGGGAGTAAAAAGTATGCGATTGAGATTGTAGTGAAAAGAAATGGTTGTTTATCCGAGCAGTCATAACCTTATTTATGACATGAGCAGTCAAGAACTCACTTATAACCTTGTACATACCTTTAAGGAAGTAGCTGATATGTGAATTAGTTATAAACTGAAACAAGTAATTTGTTTTAACGTAAAGATGTGAGATTCCTCAAAACTAAAGGCTTCCCTTTCCAAGATCTCGTAGAATTCTTGACTGGAACCTGCTGTCGCCGATGTACCATTCACTAAATCTTAATGTCACATTACTTTCAGGGAAAGATCTTAAGATAAGGTCCATTTTCCTGTCTTTGAGCTGTTTCAGATCAAGCAACACATTTAAAGATATTACTCTCAGGCATCAGACTTCAGATGCTATAAATATGTTCCACACTGATTGGACCAGCTATTGCGAGATTCATTATTGCGAACCGCATTTTCTGTTGTGAGTCAGTTTTCCTTGGTTTATGGAATCTTATTATATCTATAACATTCGAATGGAAAAAACATTTCGTGTATTTTTTCTATAGTTAACAATACGAACAGAAATGAATGATTAAGACACTACCCTTTAACTAGTTTGCTCGATTGTCCGAGTTGAACAAGCAGTTCCGAACGCAGTACTAGTCGTAATTTAAGTAATTTGGAAAACAAGGAAATTCTTCACCATCAATCGATAACTTGAATTAGTGCCTCTGTCTTAGCTTTGGAGTACCCTGGGAATCGAGTCCGTTTTCCTTGGTTTATGGAATCTTATTATATCTATAACATTGAAATTTCGTGTAATTTCCTCTGTAGTTAACAAGGCGAATAGAAATGAATGATTACGACACTGCCCTTTAACTAGTTTGCTCGTTTGTCCGAGTTGAACAAGCAGTTCCAAACGCAGTATTAGTCGTAATATCAGTATTTTGGAAACCAAGAAAATTCTTCGTCACCATCTATAGTACAGTGGTAACGTATCGGCCTTTCATCCGAGGGGTCGGCGGTTCGCGCCCCACCAAGTTGGAAGTTACTGCTGTGGCTGGGCACCACAGCGGGTAAGGACTAAACCGAGTCAGCACCAGCTGACACACTGTTAGCGAGTCGACATTAGTCGACACAGGCCGGGCTCCCCTCATAGCCCGGGCGAGGCTCAGTTTCGCATATCGGACTTATCCTTAATCTTACCATCAATCGATAACTTGAATGCCTGTCTTAGCTTTGAAGTCCCCTAGGAATCAAAGTATTTCCTAGCTGTGATTGTGGCGATGCGTAAAGCTAAAATCACACTACCCTCGCACCACAGCTAGTGGCTACCCGATCCTATTGTGGCTTCGAATCCGTGCAGCAAACAAAACGTTTCGAGACGTGGGTGCGACTGTTGCGATGTGAATCTATGCGACCGGGCATGGGCAACTGGATATTTACTCAAACAATGGTCCAAGGCAGTTAGATACTGGGTTTTGGCACTAAATGATATTGTTATTGCCCTGTGTTAAGAGTCCTGATGTACTTAAACCGCGGGCAAGGTCCAACAGACATCACTATGTATGTGTGTGTGTGTGGGTGGGTGTACATGTGTATACATATAAAATAAATATTTATACACACACACACACACACACACACACACACACACACACACACATATATATATATATATATATATATATATATATATATATATATACGTATATATACATATGTGTGTAAATTACATATACATATACATATACATAAGTATGTATATATGTATGTGTATGTGTGTGTACACATGTATATAAAATATATAAAATAAATATTTATATACACATATATACGTATATATACATATATGTTTATATGTATATCTATATGTATGTTTATATATATGTATATTTATATATATGTGTGTGTGTGTGTGTACACATGTATATATATAAAATAAATATTTATATTCAGATATATATATATATATATATATATATATATATATATATATACGTATATATACATATATGTTTATATGTATATCTATATGTATGCTTATATATATGTATATTTATATATATGTGTGTATATATGTATATTTATATATATGTGTGCATGCGTGCGTGCGTGTGTATGTAGTTATATGTTTATGTAAATACAATACTCAATTTAGCAACGTGGTATAATTTATATTTAATCTACCCTTTCCAGAGTGGCCTGCCCCAAGGGGGGAAACCGGGCCCCTTCAAGGCGCGGACCAGCTCCGTGCCCAACCGCGCCAACGCCTTCCAGCGGATGGTGGTTCCCCAGCAGCCCAGGCGCAACGTGAGCGGCACGAAGAGGGTTGGTCAGTATTTTGGTTTCTTTTTTTTCACTGATTGTAACACATTACAAACTTTATAAAAAAGTGATTTAGTTTAGAGGTCATTAGGCTTATTCATGTTATACAATTATCATATTAATGGCATTGTTATTAGCATTATCATATCATCAAGATAATACTGCTGCTGAAAGCAACAATAATAAAAATAGGATAAACAATAATACAAAAACAGAACCCACAAATCAACCGAATTCCACTTAAAAAAGCGTCCTCTTTCACCAGAGGGCTGTGGCGTCGCTCCCTTGGCGCCGAGCAAGGAATCCAGACTATACGGCGGCCGAGATGCAGTCCCTCACGAATACCCTTGGAATGTGGTGGTGTGGATGGACCATTCCTGGTGGTGCGGCGGGGTCCTGATCTCCGACGAGTGGGTTATGACGAGCGGAGGCTGTGTGCAAGGGTAAGTGGGTGGATATTTGGATTTTGTTTGGGGTTTGTCTGAAGCTCTGTTTCTTTCTCTTTCTCTCTCTCTGTCTCTGTCTAAGGAAGATTTTATTTCAGTATGTTTTATTGGCATATAGGTCTTCCTCTTCTTTCTATCAAGGTTATCTCTTCCCTGTTTCTATGTTATATTTTCTTTCTCCTCCACCCTCACCTTCTTTGTGCTTAGTCATCACTGAGATCTATTCCAGGTCGGTAATCAACATTTGCTTCTTCCTCTTTCGTTTTTTTTTTATCATTTAGTTTTCCTATTACTTGTTTATTTATCTATTTTCAAGCCCCCCCCCCCTTTTCCTTCTCATTCATCAGCTCCTTCTTCCTCTCACCCCTCTTTCTTCTGTCTCCTTCCCATTCACCAACGCCCTTTCCCTTTTCCTCTCCCAGGTCCTCCTTTCACCCCCTCTTCCACCTCCAATTCTTGTCGTCTTCCTGTCTCACCTCTTTCTCCTGTCTCCATCCCATTCACCATGCCTTTTCCTCTCCCAGGTCCGGCCTCCTCCAGGTACTGTTCGGGGCCCACAACCGCGACCAGTGGGAGGAGTCTCAGGTCACTTACGAGACTGACGAGTATTACGTCCACGAGGACCTCGATTTCCCCGAGGTTTTCGATAACGATATTGCTGTCATCAAACTCCGTCAGCCGATCGGGTTCAATGGTTAGTGAGATGAGAGAGAACGCGAGAAAAGGGACTTACAAGGGCTTAATAGGAAATGAAAAAAAGACAAGGAAAATTAATCATGATGTCTCTCTCTATATAAATATATATATGTATATATATATACTTATATATATACATAATACATATATATGTGTGTGTATACGCAAGTGTATATATGTATATATATAAATATACACACTATACATATATATACATTATACACACATATAAATATATATGTATATTAACATGTATTATCTCTAAGATCATTCAAAATAATTTTCAATAATTTGCATCCAAAATTAGCTGAGTGGGCCTTTAATTACACATTCAACACCAATGAAATGCAAAAGCAATCATCTTATTATAAAAAAGACGAAATTCAATCTGCTTTTCCCATTAGACATCACTCATCTCGTATGACTACTACAAGAGAAAATGCCTAAATACTTATTCACTCTTTTACAGACTACATCCAGCCTGTGTGTCTACCAAGCTACACGGATGCCGCTGACGCTGCTAATTTTGTTAATATGGATGTGACCGCCACGGGATGGGGAGCTGACAGTAAGTGATCGAAGTACAAAAGCACATGCAGCAATAAAATTTTTGATTAATGAAACGATGTATTGCAGTATTGATGATATTGTTCTTCATGATCGTATTGTAGCTTCTGTATAGACAACTAGTAACCTTACTATTACTAGTGTTATTACGAATACTTCTTATAGCACTATTACTGTTATAATGTGTAATGAAAATCTTTAATAGTACAAGCTGTAAATTAATGGTCAAGACTTAGACTTTCGAAACGATGATGTATGTGTGCAATGTATGCATATCGAGATGTTAGGAATAATTCATACAAAATAGAAAAAGAGAAATATAAACAAAATATTGTAAAGAATAACATCACCAGGTTAACTAGAATTTAAACAGCAAAAATGAAAAGTAAAAAAAACAAACAAACAACAAAAAATAAAAACAAATAATCATATATTTTTCCCCTCAAACAGCCCACGGTTACCATCACGCGCTGCAGTACTTAAACCTGAAGACTATTTCGACCCAGCAGTGCATTGACGTCTATGGAGAAGTTATTACCGACCTTTATCTCTGCACTTCGGGCGACAGGGGTATTGGCGCATGCAACGTAAGGGGCCTGTTGTTTTAAAAGTAGTTTACTTAGTGGTTTTATTTAGGTGTTTGTGAGTGTTTCTCTCCGTCTTTCTGTCTTTTTAAGTTCTGTCTATTCCTTTCAGTTTCTGTCTCTGTTCCTGTTCCTTGTCCTGTTTATGTGTCTATCTCTCTCCCTCCCCCTCCCTCTCTCCCTCTGTGTGTGTGTGTGTGTTCTTACCTGTGTGTCCATACACGTATATATGTATGTATGCATATTCATACAAACATACATCTACATCTAAATTTACTCACGTATATGTATATAAATGCGCACTCGTTTGTGTGTGCGTGCGTGTGTGCCCACACACACATATATAGAAAGAAGAAAAAATTATATATCTATATTAATATATGTGTATATATATGTTTACGTTTATATTTTTACTATTATTGTTAGTATTTTCTCAAGTGAACTATACCAGTGGCACCGCCAGTGGACCAGTTACTAGGCAAAACATTACACAATATAAAAAGATCCTGCTATAACTGATTCATATGACCGTCTTGATATTTTTTCGATGAACAATAATTTTTTCTTCATTTTTTTTTGTAACCAGATTCGTTCAACCTTCTTGTTAGTCATATTAAATCTTGGGCAAGCACAGTTAAGGTCAGAGGGCTATGAACATCTGTGAGCGCCAACGATGTTATTGGAAATGACAAAAGTAGACGAAACCGTTTTTATTTGTTGTGTCCAATTATTTTCTGTATTTGATTTCCCAGTCGGAGATTACTTACATGCTTTATATGCCAAAACGCTCATAAAATCCCGTATTCTTATTTAGCTTTAACACTAACCTTCAGCTTTGTACTTAGGTACTTAAGTGAACGCAAAGGTTTAACTAAGCAAATGCCAAGCTCTTACTTAAGTGAACTCGAGTCTTTACTTAAACCTCCATATCGAATAAAACTCCAGTTTCTTTGGTTAAACTTCTAATCCGTTCAGTTAAACTCTAACCCTTTTACTTAACCATCCTGTTCTTTCAAACAAACCTCTATCCCATTTGATATAACCTCCTCCACACTTCATTAAAGCTCCAATAACATCAGTAACATCGACTAAAGCTCTACACTTCGTAATCAAACCTCCAACACTTAACTAAAACCTCTGGTCCTCCCCCTAATCTCCCCCTCTTTTTCAGGGTGACACAGGCAGTCCTCTGAACTACGTGAAGGACGGAATCACGTACACCCGTGGCATCGCTGTGTTCTGGTCCGGTGCCGGCTGTGGTGCTGGGGACCCGACCGGTTTCACTAGCATCTCGAAGCACCTGGATTGGATCTCGGAGAAGACTGGCATCGCTATCGACCCTTGAGGCTAAACACGAAGGAACACGTGGGGATCTAGGTGATCTAGAAGAGGAAGGGAGGATGGAAGGAATAAAAGAAGTGATATGTTAATGTAGTTGATGTTTATACTTGGAAGGTGAATAAAGTCATTTGAAAATTCAGTTATTGGTCACTTTTTTTTAACAGCCTCAACCTCCCCAAAATACCACTACTGCCACCACAAAAAAAGAAGAAAAAAAAGCACGATTCTTTGATGAGGGGAATGTGTCATAGCTATACTTATACTTAATTATGAAATGTGACGGGAATCGCGTTTAGTCATGCATGAAGCATAAGAAATGTATATTGAAAGTTTTTTGTTCGTTTTTGTTTTAGATTATTTTTTGTTTTATTTTACACGTAAACATCAAACATTTGATGTTAACTTATACTTAACCAAGAAAAAAAGTTGTATTCTAAATTATTCAGAAAATATCAATTGTTTGGAAACGCTGAATGTGTCAAAACGAACTCAAATCGTGGCATTCATGTCTACGCCAGACATTTATAATTCATGTTCATAGAAATTACTAATTAGAATGTAAGGTGTTGGTTGATATGATTTATATCAAGGCTTGTAGTACTTACCATGCACTGAGGCTATAAACCTTAATGCTCCGAAGAAAATATTGAATGGGATGGCATCATTGCAGTTGGAGCCATAGGCTTTATAACACAGATAGAGTAAGAGAGAAGGAAGAAGAGAGAGCAGGAGGGAACTCAGAGACGGAAGGAGGAAAGGGGAAGAGAAGCAAGAGGAGGAGAAAGACAGGAAGATAGAATGACAGATAATAAAAATAGGAAGATAAATTGACCGATTGATAGAGATGGCTAAATAGACAAAGAGATAGACAGATGGACATAGATAGAAATTTAAAGAGAACGGGGGAAGTACATCAAAACCAACATGTTAAGAACATGTATTTATTGACCAGTAAAAAAAGGAAAAGAAAAAAAGAAAAGAAACATGAGACACCCCGCTATAGTTTTCATAAAACGATAAATAAATGACAATATCGCATCGTTTTTATCTGATTTCCAGAATGACCAGATTTTATCTTCAATTTCTATCTTTTACAAATTTCTCATAAAAAAAAACACGAATAAAACTGATAAAGCGTAAAAAACAAACAAACGAAAAATAAATCATGAAAGTCACCCCACGCCCGAAGACTTTCTAACTCTTTCATGAATGTCGTCTTTGGAATTCCGTGTAAAAAAGGCACGCGGTACTTTAATATTTTTGCTCTTAAGTAGCGTCTATGTTTTTAAATTCAGCGTTTGAGTAAGAAATTAAAAAACTGTAGTGGGAACCGAGTCAGGGTCAAACAGTCTTTACCAAATGAGAATAATGTAAGGTCATTCATTACCCACTGGTCGGTGCTTAGGTTAATATTTGATAATTCCTTCATTCGGAGAGCTTGTATAATCTTTATTAACACGACATGAGGACCATCAGATTATTTGGAACGGCGCTGGCGTGATTCATAAAGCTCTGGATTTTCGTATATATATATATTTAGCTCTCTTAATCAAGAAATTACCTTGTATTAACCTAATCGCTGGACAGTGGGATATAAATAATGGTACATCGTTTGACTATATGTATAGATAACGCTCCATCGTTTGCCCGGGACCCCTATATGTACATTCATGCATATCTGTATACACGTATGCGTGTTTATATTTATACGTACATACGTATATACATATATATGTATATATACCTATATATATATATATATATATATATATATATATATATATATATATATATATATATTCATATATGTATTTCATGTGCACACACACACACACATGCGTGTATGTATATATTTGTACATATGTATATATATATATATACACATATTCACACACATCTCCCTATATATGTATATATATGTGTATATATCTATATAAACATACATATACATTCACATCTCTCTCTATCTGTGTATATGTCAAAGGAACCGACGACAGGTGAGGAATATGCAATGGATAACCTTCATCATGATTACCATCACCACCACGGGCATCTGTGTAATGACAATTAGCATTCATTTTCTACATGTTTCATATTATACGCTAATGTCCATAAGGGAACGTTTACTACAGATGAAAATATATATACATATATATATACACATATACACGCTAGTATTATATCATGTCGATATTCGCGGGAGTTTTCTCCGAGAGCTCTTTCGTGTGTGTGGTCGAGAGGCACGGGGAGGGTAGTTTTTTTCCAGGCTGTTGCTAGCGATGATTTTGATAGTAAATGTCCACGTGGTTTTGAAGTCTCTTTAGCTTCAGGAATTAGGAAGTTTTTACTTTGAATTTAAAACCTAATCGTGATGTTATTAAAATCTTTCTTTTTTAATTGATTCGTATATTATATATGTTGGGAATGTTTTATCAACCTAGAGATAACATTGCCCTCTCTGTGTCTGTAAACTCTGGAATTCTTTGTGAGATTATCTTTTCGTTTTTCTTTTCAATGTTGAGAGTTATATCGGCAGTTTCAATATTTCATAACTTATATAAAAACATATATCAATGACTTTTCACATTCATCTTTGACATGAAAATGTCAGAATTTGTTTCGCCATTGCTTATTATTAAAGGCTACTCAACTCCATCTTTTCTATGGAGTTGATGACATGATTGATTGGTGGGATTAACTTGTCCTCTCAGCGCATGCGCAGGATTAAATCTAGGCTCAAAAGTAAAGACTGCTCCGGAGGTGAATTAAAATATAATCCTGAACACTGCCAATGCACATGGGTAGGAGATATGAATTAAATTCTAATACTGGATTAACTTTTATGGCGCATAAAGAAGACGCTCTATGATATTAATGTTCCTTTTTTATAATTGTTATCATCTTTTCAACACTTTACACCGTCAGCAAATATCTGCCGACAGCGAAGTCGCTCAGGGTGCAACGCTAGTCTTCTGCTCGATCCAGTCCAGGTAGTAGTGGACGCGGGTGAAGGCGGCGGGGTAACCAACCTCACATCCGGCGGAGGCACCGAAGGAGGTAATGCCGTAGGTCATGCCGTTGAGGTTGAGGGGGCCTGAGGGAAGACTCGGCTGTGTAGGACTTGAGAAAGTGGCCTTGATGATTAACAAATATGTAACTATATTGCGTTAAATCGCAAGACAAAGAAAGAAAGAAAGAAAAAAAAACTAGCAACTCACTTCGAACTCAGGAGCACTTCAATTCGACCAGTCTTTTTAAAAAATAATGTTGGAAGCAGCAACTTTTGACTAAAAAAACAATGCAGACCTTGTGTATTCATGTTTAGAAATCCAAACATACGAGAAAACAAGTACCGAGTGTCGTTTTATTAGAATAAAGAAAATGAAACCGGAGTTCTGTAGAGGACGGGCCGAGATGCTACGTTTTCTTTCTCGAAATTTGAAGCAATATGGCACTCAGGTATGGATTTACTTACGTTGCAGGTGCCCTTGCCGCCTGTGCTGTCGACGCAGACGACGCCATCGCCGACGATGTCATATACGGCGCCACAGTCAGCGTTGGTCATGACAGGGATGTCCACCTGACGATGGACTCCGGACGTTCCTCTGGCGGCTGTTGTCCCCAAAGACATTTTTTGCTTTCATAGATGATAATGGAACCTTTTGCATGTAATTTCATTAGAATCAGTCACTGATAAAGGGCAAGAGAAAACAGAAGTAAAGAAATTCGTTGGCAAGAGGAAACTCACAGTCAGAGGAGCGGCCGTAGCCAATGGCGACTTTACAGGAGGCAGAGAGAGAGGAGGGAGAGGGAGAGAGGGGGAGAGAGAGAAGAGAGAGAGGGAGATAAAGAGAGAGAAAGAGAGAGATAGGAAACTGAAAGACACGCAGAAGAAAGAAAAAGTGATAAGATACGAAAGACTTAATAAGAAAAAAAATACAGATATCAAAAATAAATAAATAAATAAAAGAACCAGATTCGCCCTTTCACACCCAGAGCTTCCCACACACGATAAGGAAATCCTGTTGTTTAGACGAAACGGGAGATCTTTCCCCACCTATGCGCCCAGTGACCTTGCAAGGTCATGGCGCCTGTTTAAAAGCAGAGACGCATATCGTGCCTCTTACAGTGTCGACAGAATGGTCATCAAGGTCGCTGCTCTTCTCTTCGTCTGCGCCGCCCTCGCTGTGAGTTCGATGGAGTGTGAGGCATAGGGAGGGAAGGAGTGGAAGGAAGGGAGGGAAGGAGTGGAAGGAAGGGAGGGAAGGAGTGGAAGGAAGGGAGGGAAGGAGTGGAAGGAAGGGAGGGAAGGAGTGGAGGGAAGGAAGGAATGGGGGGAGGAAGGGAGGGAAGGAGTGGGGGAAGGGAGGGAAGGAGTGGAGGGAGGGAGGGAAGGAGTGGGGGAAGGGAGGGAAGGAGTGGGGGAAGGGAGGGAAGGAGTGGGGGAAAGGAGTGAAGGAGTATGAGGCATAGGGAGGGAAGGAGTGGAGGGAGGGAGGGAAGGAGTGGAGGGAGGAAGGGAGGGAAGGAGTGGAGGGAGGAAGGGAGGGAAGGAGTGGAGGGAGGAAGGGAGGGAAGGAGTGGAGGGAGGGAGGGAAGGAGTGGAGGGAGGAAGGGAGGGAAGGAGTGGAGGGAGGGAGGGAAGGAGTGTGAGGCATAGGGAGGGAAGGAGTGGAGGAAGGGAGGGAAGGAGTGGAGGGAGGAAGGGAGGGAAGGAGTGGAGGGAGGAAGGGAGGGAAGGAGTGGAGGGAGGAAGGGAGGGAAGGAGTGGAGGGAGGAAGGGAGGGAAGGAGTGTGAGGCATAGGGAGGGAAGGAGTGGAGGAAGGGAGGGAAGGAGTGGAGGGAGGAAGGGAGGGAAGGAGTGGAGGGAGGAAGGGAGGGAAGGAGTGGAGGGAGGGAGGGAAGGAGTGGAGGGAGGAAGGGAGGGAAGGAGTGGAGGGAGGGAGGGAAGGAGTGTAGGAAAGGATGGAAAGAGTGGAGGAAGGGAGGGAAGAAGTGCAGGGAAGGAAGGAGTGGAGGGAAGGAAGGGAGGGAAGGAGTGGAGGAAAGGAGGGAAGGAGTGGAGGGAGGAAGGGAGGGAAGGAGTGGAGGGAAGGAAGGAGTGGGGGGAGGAAGGGAGGGAAGGAGTGGAGGGAGGAAGGGAGGGAAGGAGGGAAGGAAGGGAGGGAAGGAGTGGAGGGAAGGAAGGAGTGGAGGGAGGAAGGGAGGGAAGGAGTGGAGGAAAGGAGGGAGGGAGGAAGGGAGGGAAGGAGTGGAGGAAAGGAGGGAGGGAGGAAGGGAGGGAAGGAGTGGAGGAAAGGAGGGAGGGAGGAAGGGAGGGAAGGAGTGGAGGAAGGGAGGGAAGGAGTGGAGGGAGGAAGGGAGGGAAGGAAGGGAGGGAAGGAGTGGAGGGAGGGAGGGAAGGGAGGGAAGGAGTGGAGGGAGGAAGGGAGGGAAGGAGTGGAGGAAGGGAGGGAAGGAGTGGAGGGAGGAAGGGAGGGAAGGAGTGGAGGAAGGGAGGGAAGGAGTAAGGGAGGGAAGGAGTGGAGGAAGGGAGGGAAGGAGTGGAGGGAGGAAGGGAAGGGAGGGAAGGAGTGGAGGGAGGAAGGGAGGGAAGGAGGGAAGGAAGGGAGGGAAGGAGTGGAGGGAAGGAAGGAGTGGAGGGAGGAAGGGAGGGAAGGAGTGGAGGAAAGGAGGGAGAGAGGAAGGGAGGGAAGGAGTGGAGGAAGGGAGGGAAGGAGTGGAGGAAAGGAGGGAGGGAGTGGAGGGAGGAAGGGAGGGAAGGAGTGGAGGGAGGAAGGGAGGGAAGGAGTGGAGGGAAGGAGGGAGTGGAGGGAGGGAGGGAAGGAGTGGGGGAAGGAGTGGAGGGAGGGAGGGAAGGAGTGGGGGAAGGGAGGGAAGGAGTGGGGGAAGGGAGGGAAGGAGTGGAGGAAGGGAGGGAAGGAGTGGAGGAAGGGAGGGAAGGAGTGGAGGAAGGGAGGGAAGGAGTGGAGGAAGGGAGGGAAGGAGTGGAGGAAGGGAGGGAAGGAGTGGAGGAAGGGAGGGAAGGAGTGGAGGAAGGGAGGGAAGGAGTGGAGGGAAGGAAGGAGTGGAGGGAGGAAGGGAGGGAAGGAGTGGAGGAAAGGAGGGAGGGAGTGGAGGGAGGAAGGGAGGGAAGGAGTGGAGGAAGGGAGGGAAGGAGTGGAGGGAGAAAGGGTGGGAAGGAGTGGAGGGAGAAAGGGTGGGAAGGAGTGGAGGGAGGGAGGGAAGGAGTGGAGGAAAGGAGGGAGGGAGTGGAGGGAGGAAGGGAGGGAAGGAGTGGAGGGAAGGAGGGAGGGAGGAAGGGAGGGAAGGAGTGGAGGGAGGGAGGGAAGAAATGGAGGAAAGGAGGGAGGGAGTGGAGGGAGGGAAGGAGTGGGGGAAGGGAGGGAGAGGGGAGGAGTATGAAAGCTTGGAACGAGGGAGGGAGATAAAGGGGGTAGGGAGGAAAGGAGAGGGAGGAGTAAGGGTTAAGTATTGAAGGTGAGGGAATAAGAAAGAGAGATAGGAGGAAAATGCGAAGAGGAGAGGAAAATAAAACGGGGCAGAGAGAGAGATAGATAGAAAGAGGGAGAGAGAAATTCTTTAGGGAAATCAAATTCAATGTCGCTTTCTATCATTTCATGAACCTTTGAATATTTTCTTTATTTTTTTTTTTCTTTACTTACTCATGATTAAAATTCACGCAGTGTTTTTTTTTTCCTGGGAGTAAAAAGTATGCGATTGAGATTGTAGTGAAAAGAAATGGTTGTTTATCCGAGCAGTCATAACCTTATTTATAACATGAGCAGTCAAGAACTCACTTATAACCTTGTACATACTTTTAAGGAAGTAGCTGATGTGTGAATTATGAATTAACTGCAACAAGTAATTTGTTTTAACGCAACGATGTGAGATTCCTCAAAACTAAAGGCTTCCCTTTCCAAGATCTCGTAGAATTCTTGACTGGAACCTGCTGTCGCCGATGTAGCATTCACTAAATCTTAATGTCACATTACTTTCAGGGAAAGATCTTAGCATAAGGGCCATTTTCCTGTCTTTGAGCTGTTTCAACACATTGAAAGATATTACTCTCGGGCATCAGACTTCAGATGCTATAAATATGTTCCACACTGATTGGACCAGCTATTGCGAGATCCATTATTGCGAACCGCATTTTCTGTTGTGAGTCAGTTTTCCTTGGTTTATGGAATCTTATTATATCTATAACATTCGAATGGAAAAAAACATTTCGTGTATTTTTTTCTATAGTTAACAATGCGAACAGAAATGAATGATTAAGACACTACCCTTTAACTAGTTTGCTCGTTTGTCCGAGTTAAACAAGCAGTTCCGAACGCAGTACTAGTCGTAATTTGAGTCATTTGGAAAACAAGGAAATTCTTCACCATCAATCGATAACTTGAATTAGTGCCTCTGTCTTAGCTTTGGAGTACCCTGGGAATCGAGTCCGTTTTCCTTGGTATATGGAATCTTATTATATCTATAACATTGAAATTTCGTGTAATTTCCTCTGTAGTTAACAAGGCGAATAGAAACGAATGGTTACGATACTGCCCTTAAACTAGTTTTCTCGTTTGTGCGAGTTGAACAAGCAGTTCCAAACGCAGTATTAGTCGTAATATCAGTATTTTGGAAACCAAGAAAATTCTTCGTCACCATCTATTAAGCCTCCGGGATAGTACAGTGGTAACGTATCGGCCTTTCATCCAAGGCGCGAGAAGTTGGAGGTTACTGCTGTGGCTGGGCACCACGGCGGGTAAGGACTAAGCCGAGTCAGCACCAGCTGACACACTGTTAGCGAGTCGACATTAGTCGACACAGGTCGGGCTCCCCTCATAGCCCGGGCGAGGCTCAGTTTCGCATATCGGACTTATCCTTAATCTTACCATCAATCGATAACTTGAATGCCTGTCTTAGCTTTGAAGTCCCCTAGGAATCAAAGTATTTCCTAGCTGTGATTGTGGCGATGCTTAAAGCTAAAATCACACTACTTTCGCACCACAGCTAGTGGCTACCCGATCCTGTTGTGGCTTCGAATCCGTGCAGCAAACAAAACGTTTCGAGACGTGGGTGCGACTGTGGCGGTGTGAATCTATGCGACCGGCCATGGGCAACTGGATATTTACTTAAATAATGGTCCAAGGCAGTTAGATACTGGGTTTTGGCACTAAATGATATTGTTATTGCCCTGTGGTAAGAGTCCTGATGTACTTAAACCGCGGGCAAGGTCCAACAGACATCCCTATGTATGTGTGTGTGTGTGTGGGTGGGTGTACATGTGTATACATATAAAATAAATATTTATACACACACACACACACACACACACACACACACACACACACACATATATATATATATATATATATATATATATATATATATATACGTATATATACATATGTGTGTAAATTACATATACATATACATATACATACGTATGTATATATGTATATATGTGTATGTGTGTGTACACATGTATATAAAATATATAAAACATATAAAATAGATATTTATATACACATATATATATACGTATATATACATATATGTTTATATGTATATCTATATGTATGTTTATATATATGTATATTTATATATATGTGTGTGTGTGTGTACATATGTATATATATAAAATAAATATTTATATTCACATATATATATATATATATATATATATATATATATATATACGTATATATACATATATGTTTATATGTATATCTATATGTATGCTTATATATATGTATATTTATATATATGTGTGTATATATGTATATTTATAT